TTTCTTTTCTTTTTCTTTTTAGCCTGAAAAAGAAAGTCAAATCTGAGGTGAATCCTGTGATGGAACTTTCGCCTCCAGAAGGAACACCTATGGAAAATTACGGCCAGTCAGTTTCAAGCCTGGAATATGGAGTTCACAAAGAGAAGGCGTCACACCAAACTTAAAAGAAAAGATAACAGCGTTTTCCGAACGTCGCTGCTTATTTACCTATTTCGTTAACGTATTTCCATCTTTGTGCATAGTAGCACGATACGAGACGAGTTAACCAACTCAGCAATTTTTTAAAGCCTTTAGCGGCAGACGTGGTATCCTAGAGTAATCTCGAACCCTGATTGCCACGGCCAAGCGTGAAACAGCCCGAGGGCGAGATTAGTGGGACCTGGGTACGACATTAAGACTAAGCATAGCGCGTTGGATAGTCATGCATTATTTTGACTTTACTCTCACGATCCCTTTCCCCAGCCAGGAGATATAACAAGAAATAGACACCGGTGAGCTCTTGTAGCGCCCTAACAAAATGCGAAGGGTGGGAAGTAACCTACGGAGTCGTAAAAGTAAATAGCCAGCAGTTGTGGGGTCTTAGGTTCTTAAACACTTACCTTTTCACCTTTCAGGACCCGCGAACATACCACGGGTTCTTGAGTCAGCTGTTTATCATAAGGATGAGCCATGTTGCCTAGCAAACTCCTGTCAAGAAAACCACGGGCTCAATTTAACATTGCTATTAGCCTGTCAGTGTTACGACTGTGAAATCTGTATTAACTGCTGCAGTTTAACCCTGTTTCGATTCCTGCACCGGTTTTGGTAATTGTAGTTGTAGTAGTAGTGTTAGGTCGTGCAATTTGTACACTAAAATACACAGGCGACGCTCTCCTAATAAGTACCCCCACTAGGCGGAAACCTCCCGTAAGCGAACACTTAGTAATGATCCCAACCACTGCATTTCTAACCTCGCATATGCGGGCTCTACTGTTAAAATTAAGCGGACACTTTTTCTAGTCCCAACGGTGTCCGCTTACAGAAGGTTCGACTGTACTTTCATATTTTCGTGCATGGAGACGTCTCTAAATTTCTACTTGTAGATCTTCACACAATCGTAGGCGACTATAGTTACGAGTGATTTCGCTGTATTAATATGGTATCATAACACAAAAATAGATCTGAGCTGTTTTGCGTGTGATCACTTAAAACTCTTTTGAGAAGTAGTCTCCCTGTGGTTTACGGAGTGTACATATGAGGCAGGCAATATCTTTTGGCTCTTTTTTGTTGTAGTTACATTATTAAGGGGAGGGGGAAATCTTTAAGTGACTTGAGACCTGCCTAGCTTGGGACTTGTAACTTTTAACTTAGTCATCCCCGGAAAATAGTGCCACTGAAGTCTAGAGAGCGGTCAGGATCCTCTAAAACCCCTCTATTAGTAAGTACCTTTGAGAAGTAAGAGATACAAACTAGATAGAACTTTTGGCGAACGACTTCTTTAAAACACACCAGACAGTTGAGTTTGTGAGTCCAGGAAGGAAATAGTTTAAACTTCAACGCGGGAGAACTAGGTGATGCGCTTTAAATTTACAGGCTATAAGTTCTAATTATCAAAATTTGTTTTACTAGGACGGTTTTCCTTTTAGGAAAGACAGCTTTCTTAACAATGATTGAAGAATCTCAACAAAACAAAAATGGAAATTCCACTATATTGCGGTTTTTTAAATTTTTCGCTGGTTCTCTGTTCCATTATTCCTAATGTAGATTTTCATTTTGATTATCGTTCAGATTTAGAAAACAGCCCAAATAAAATGCGCTGATTGACTAAATAACACTGAAACTTGAATCGTAGGTTACCACAGAGTGCAAATTCAAACACAGGTAATATCAGCGTCACAGTCAGTCAGTGTATCTACAAAAACAACCCATGAGTTAAAGGCTAGAAAGTCATTAATGACAGTGGTGTATATAGTGGGTTTGCTTTGGCTGTTATTGCCATTTTCTTGTGTTCTTGTAAGCCAGCTTATTGTAGGACCCAAACCATCTCTAAGAACAGCTTATGGTATAACAGCGACAGCGGTATTTGCAAATTAAATTGTAAATCCTGGACTCTACTGTTGACGAATTGGGGAAACGTGAAGTTTTTTTAGTTGATAGTGTGATGTTGAGGTGTAACGTTTCCCGCGGTTCTGAGGGTCGCGCGCCTGGCGTTCTCCTTTGAAAACTATTATCAGATTTCTTTCAATCTCCCCTAATAAAATAAAACTGTTATTTTAGGGCAAAATATTTCATGATTATTTGCTCAGTGTTAGTCATTGCAGGAAGGTATAACCTCGCCTCATGACTCCGTAACTATCTTCCTCTATTAATTTTCAAATTCAAAAGTGAATTCGCGAACGCATTCGAAACCCTGTTAGGGCTAAATAGGGGGTTGGAATTGTGGCGAAATAAAGTACTCCCTCAATAGTAATAGTGATCAAACTTAAACGGCGTGTAAAACATCCGAATTTGTTTACTTTACATTCTAAAATCCCAACCTGGATAATCCTTTATAATCTTACCCCGTTTATAAGGCCACTTAAACCAGTTATGTTCATCTTTCCATTGTTAATATTGTATATAATGATTGCATTTCAATTTTTAAAAATTGTATCTGCATTTCGGATGCTTATAAAGTTGTTTAGAAACGCAGTTGTGATATATCTGACAATACGTCACTCAATTTAGACCAGTCATGAAACTTGACCCTACTCCGTTGATACGGCCACCCCGTTAATACGGCGAAATCATGACTTGTTGGTGACCGTATTAACGGGGTCCCACTGTGAAACAGAAATTGAAGCTTCAAAAAAACACCAAATTTGAATTAAAAAACCGTCTGAAAACAGAGTCACGAGATCAAACATTAAATAATAAGTAAGTCGAATGTTCTCGCATTTGCGTCGGGATCTCGTTTGCATTATACTGCTTGCCTCCCATAACTGCCGTCGTTACAAGCCGGCCTTTTATCAACCACACGAATTAAAAAGTACGTAATATTTTGTTTCGATTTAAATGCAATTAAATATCCCTAGTGAAGTATAATGTATTCCATTTCGGCATCGATATGTGTCGGGATAATGTATGACGATTTGTATAAGCACTACTGATACACAAACTCAAGAACGCGCCAACGTATCATCACAAAAGCCCTGTGAAAAGCGCCCATGAAATGAAAAATAATTGCTGCTTATTTGAAAGGCTTTTCAAAACAAGGAATGGTGTTTTCCTTTTTGGAATATCTTTTTTCGTTTCAGAGATATTTACGTTTTTGTATTATGCAAATTGGGAAAGTGATGACGTCATGAAGTTGCAACTAAAATGGTAAAATACTGAATAAAGAATATCTCTGTAAATATTGAAGCACGTGTTCTTCAAATTTGGCGCCAGAAATGTTCATCATCATCATCATCATCATCATCATTCAAAACGGAAAATGCCTTTCTTCTATATTTTGAAAAGCTTTTCAAATAAGCAGTAATTATTTTTCATTTCATAGGCATCTAACTCTCCCTTACATTTACACACAGTTTTTTGTTACTCTCCTCGGATGAAAATAGAGGTTGACCAGGCCGATAAAATGTCATCGCCAATACTCTTTATCAGCCTAGCTTGGCACTGGATAAAACGGCAGTTATAGTTCCGCTACTCAACTAGAATCAAAAGCAAAGTTCCACCTGCCGTTGGCATACAATGTCTTCAAGTTCCCAGGGAGAACTTGATTTTGTGAAGGTTGTAAGTAAGGTTGTTGTTCGATCGTGGTTTCCTCTTGTTCCTAAATTTTATGTTTGTACAAAGCTCTCTGAGAAGAAACAATTTCCACCACCGTAAACAGGAATCCTCTTTGCTGTGTAGATAAATAATTGGAACTGACATCCTGCTCTTTACGAAAACTTGAAAACCATGGAATCCGAAGAATCTTCACCATCGAGTTAATGGCAGTGTGACGCGTGACGGTCACGCAATCCCGAGATCTATCGCAGATTCGTTGAGTCGGCAAGCATAGTTTTCATGGCAGTCACGTAGGTAATGGAAGGAGATCTCGACAAATCTTTCCGTCTCCTTTCTTCTTATCAAGCCATTGTCCACAAGGAAAAGTCACCTTCTCTTGACTCGTTAGATTCGTCACGTCAACTCTATCCAGCATCCAACCGGCTCCAAAGCCTTTGTTGTCATGCTCTATGCGCAGGCGCGTCAGCTGGCCAAGATCCAGTGCCTCGATCTTGAAGTCGTCCGTTTTTCCTCTTTCGAACAAGTTGACGAACTTTTTGGTCAGTTGTCTCTGGCCAGTGTCACCGTTCGAGCCATATAAGGTAATGGATACGTTGGCATCTGTGCCTGCGTGGGATATGTCGGCTGTGACCACTTCGATTAGATATTGAACAGGCTGAAGGTCTAAAATAACCGAAGAGAAAGAAAGAAAGTAAGTAAGTAAAGAAACAAATTGGCAATAATCAATAAGTAACGTAGGTTGGAAAAGAAAATTCGATGTTGAATTTCTGACCCTGTGTACACTAGTTACATGCTCTACAACTGAGCCACAGACGACTTGCAGGAGTTTGGGCACTTGTAACTGGGTTTAAATGTGACAAGCTTGATGTGCGCTGCAAGGACAAGCCCAACTAAGAACGCTAGTCGGCAACGGTGTCGAAAGAAATGGAATGACGGTAGGGAAAGAAAATAATATTCTCAATGTAGTCTCGGATATCAAAATAAAGTACCACTATGGTCAATAACAAGATGTCCTTTCTGAAGAATACTCTCCCGAGGGGCTCGTACAATCACACAAGACAATCTGATAGATTTGGAAAAACTGAGTGCCTTACATTCAGCGACTAATTGAAACTTAATATATGATGTCCTTGTGAATTTCGTCAAACACAGCAGACTATGTTTACAGTCATACCTCTAATGGTCGCCATCCTCGGTTTTTCGCAAGATTTGCACTCTAAGCGAACAGCGTCATTCTTATCAGCGCTGAGAGGAATCCACTGACGGCAGGGAAACACGTATCTGCCACAAAAAAAAGAGCAAAATCATGCAAATGTCTCAGAGCTAAGCACAAAAATCCCAGGTTCAATTATACGGTACTGCGAAACAACGCAAATCATAACAGTTTGTGCAGGTGAATGACCGTATTTAGAAGATACAAATACGAAAAATGATTACAACGGGTCTTCCTTGTATTCTTTGTGCATTAACTCAGAATGTTGTAAAGTTTTAGTCCGTTTTCTCAATTAAAGAAATTTCAACGAGTTTGAGCTTCACGTTTCCTTTAAAAATACGCTGAAATTGCATAAAACTCCACAGCAAGATAACTGTCACTAAGTGAAATCTTTTTATGAACACATCACAACAAGGCAAGGCAACCACTGAAACAACCTTGGCATCACTGAGATGATCACGTGATACCAGTACCAGCTCACCCGAGGTCTCACTAGCAGCTCTAGAAAGTCAAGATTAGGACTGGAAGTAGCAAAGGAGCTGCGTCCTGCAAAATGAGGACCAAAATTTTTGTCTTCCGCAATCCGTCTCAATCTTGGCCAATCAAAACCATCGTTATTTCTGTTTGGTTAAATGTTATCTCTGTGATGTCTTTCTTCCTTAGTAAACAATTACGATGAGATATTAAAAGGAGATTCTGCACATAGAGAAATAGCTACTTTAAGCCAGTTCATATGCTTCAGTTCTCCTATACAGTTGCTGAACTCAAGTGAAGCGAGTAGTATGATAAGCTTACTTTTCTCCACTTTCAAGATGAGTGACAATTAGTTCATGTAAAAACCAGCCAGTCTCCTTCCCAGTCCCCTTGACAATGGAGCCTTCTCTTCTGCGGTGCCCAACTGTCACATGGGTAAGACTTCCTAGGTTTTTAGTCACAAATTTCAAACTGTCGGTTTGTCCTCGACGTAGGACTTTGTTCTTGGGGCTGTTTTCTATCTGATATTCCTGAGACTTTCTTTCTTCCCCTTCAAGCACGATCCATGCGTTTTGTGTAGTTCCCGCGTGTTGCTTGTCACTCGTGAGGAAAGTCAGTTCAAAAGCTGTCACAAATAAAAAAAAAAACGAATAGAGGATAATAACTATTTTAAACAGAGTTTCGAATTGCAGCAAGGCAAACAGTAGAGAGCAATCCCCAGAATGAGAACCTTGGTACCATTTATCGTGAACGCAAGTGTGTAATAAATCTTTACTTCCGATCTGGAGAAAAACAAACAAAATGGAGGAAAAGCTACCTCCGGTTTTGGAGTAATATAGGCAATTAACTCCACCTTAATGATAAAAAGTACATAATTTGTACATAAATTCATATTGCAACAAGATTATCTACTTAACAATCCACTTCCTCCCTTGTTCTCGTGGATTCTTATGATTCGTAAATTAAAAATACTGTTCTCCAAATTCAACTATTTTTCCTCAGGCTTGTACGATCACGATTTATTTGCTAAAACGCGACGATAGTGGCCCATTCAGAAAAAGCTAACAGATAACATATTTTTCTTCACATACAATAACCAGTCAAGCCAGTTACTTACTTGTAGGTGACCGTGAATCATTACTTTTCTTAGCGTTTGCACAAGTCAGCTCTCTTATCAGGCTGCCATCATCTTTATCCTTAGCGAGCCACCGGTTGCAGGGAAAATGATACTTTTCATTGTTGGACTCGTCGACGATTTCCACGTTTTCAAGAAACCAGTTTGCCCCGAGGAATTTATTGTCATGCCAAATGCGGACTTTGGTAAGTTCACCTGAGAAAGAAGTAACAATAAAAGTACAAATGATTCACTTTCTTCAAACTTTTGTCAATAAAATACGCTTGATTTGCAGTATAGCAATTGAAAACACTTTTTGTACAGCAAACCCAGGATGCTATGATTAATGACTTCCTTCTTTAATTAAGAAAAGTGACAAATCGGGTTTTTCAAATCCTACACTGTCGAAATCAATTCGAAATCAATGATCAATCGGAGGAAAGACGTATGGATGAAGTAATTAACATTTTGTTTCATGTCTTGATTAAATCCATGTTGCTTCGCGACTGTTCAGAAATTGACACACGCGCCTATCGCCTCGTTTGTCACTGTTTTGTTCTTACCACATTTTAACGTCATCTGTCATCAATATAGGGAACTTAAGTAAACTACGATGGCAACGGTAACGAAAACGCCACCAAACAAAAGGTATAATGAGCAGAACAATGGCCATACACGTGCGTTTTAAATCTTTGTACATTTCAGAGCTTTCCTCTGCAAAACATACAACGTGAAATGACCAAGTTCTGAGTATTTTGGAGAACGTAGGCCACGACGGCTAATTTTTCGTATTCCTTTTTGGAATTGATCACTCACTGGCATTAAATATTTAGTTTGAGCACGTTTTCAGACTGACTGGCGTGCTGAACAGATTCAGATAGTTACGAAGTCCGAAGGTAAAAAAACATCCATTTCTTACTAGGCGTCGTCTCTGGTGTCGCCGTCGTCATTGCTTAAAGTCCCTAATTACTGAACAGACGCACGGCAACATGGAATCCATTTGTTATTAATTAATATCTTGAACGTCAATCATGTTTCAGACCACTGCTTTGAATTTTTATTTTATTTCAAGATCTACAATAAAGTTACAGGTACTTTACAAGCAGTAGAATAATCGAGTGCTCTGGAAGACGTAAGGTTCAAACATTTGTGAAGAACAAATGGGCTTTTTTTCAGAAACAAGTTTCCTTTGTCACTTACCTAAACTAAGTAAGTTCTTGAAGGTAAAGACATCAGTATGGTTCCGTTCAAACTTATCCTTGTATGTTTCAGAGTTCTTCAAAGCCAGCTCTCCACTGTCGCCATTTTCGCCAAAAATAATCATGAACACGTTAGCGTCTGTCCCAGCTCCAATCACATCTCCGGTCTTTACGTTTACCTTATATGAAGTCTCTGTTTGCAGAATTGAGAACAAACCAATAACAGTAAGCGTCCTATATGCTGACGCGCTATGAGCTTGTCACGCAATCTTTCCTCTTCACGACCCCAATAAACAAATGCAAGGTGAGACTCAATATCTGGGCGCTTTCCATTCAACCAAAAATTCCGTTTTGTATTTCCGAAAATTTCTGGTGGCGAATGAAAGGGCATTTTCCACAAACTCCGGGAAAGAAGACAATCTCGCGAGCTATACTCAAATTTTAGAACATTTATTATCAGAAATTTCTATTCCCCTTGATTTTTATCTCGCAATTTCCGGAACTTCCGGTTGAATGGGTCGCATTTCGGAAATTTAACAATTTTCGGATTTTCTGGAAACTTTCCAAAGGAATTTCCGTACCATTTGCTCCCGTTTCGAAAATTCCAGAATTATCGGTTGAATGGAAAGCACTCTCTAACTCTCTCTGGTGAGCGGCAAGACTAAGACCTCTGGGCGAAATTGGAAATTGAGCCAGAACTGATCTGGCTCAGCGGTTGCTTTCGCTACTCATGTTTAAAAGCCATTGTTCAACTAGGACGCAGGCGCAAAATCAAACCAGAAAGAGGATTTTCTGACTCCGGTTTGTTTTTACTATTTTCCAGAGCGTCGAGCGTCGAAGGCAAGGGGTCTAAGAACGAGATTGAGTGACGCTGCTGACAATCTGGGACATTAGAATGACTCCGCAACCACGCCTGTAGACCAGTTTTACAGAAAGTTTCACCACAGACGGAATCTGGCCCAAGTGTTTTGTTTTGTCATTTATTATCAAACCCTAGTCAGCGAGAAAAAAAAATCTTGGGACATTTAGTCTGATTTTGGTGGGGAAAACAGTTCAAAACTCCTTGTGTGCAGTATCGCTGTAAAGCTTATTCTTCGGGTTGATAACTATTATTTGACTCGCCCAAACTACTCGTGGAATTACATAACAGTCGCCGTGAATATTTTTCCACCTAATCCGCAGGCAACGCGTATTTTGGCGTTTTGATATCAACTTACCAGTCAACACTTCTTCGCCATCAACCTCAGCCGGTATCTCTTGGACTAACTTTCCATCTCCTGTTTTGGAAAACCACTGATTGGATTTAAACACGCTCACGCAGTGGGTCTCCATGTTTCTTATTATTATCTGTTTAAAAAATAAATAAATAAATAAAAACATACAAGTTATTGTTTTCTCGAATTTCAAATTGCCGCTACCTACGTTTTAGTTTTTCCTCCTGAATTTAACACAGATATCATGACTAGAAAGAGCACGAAATGTTTAGTTAAAGTGTCAATTTGAACTGAAAGGCTTTAAAAGTTGCAGGTTATTCTACAATTATGACCAGGTCTTAACATTATGACATGATAAGTTTTCCTTTTAATAATTAATAGCTACATGTATATTACAGTTGAGTATATGTGTCCAGTCTTTGCAAGGATCTATAATTTCCAGCATTCTTTGCTTTTATTGAGGATTCCATTATCACTTTGTTACCTGAATCAGTATAAATATGGAAAAAATGTTATTGGGAGGTGTGATCGACGCAATATAGTTGAAAGCCTTTAAGTTCAACGTTTTTCAACAGAAAATGTCCTCCAATTTTCAACGTGTTCCTCTCGTATTTCTAACAGCAAGTAAATGGCACAAACGTTTTCAATTGGTCTTATCTTTATGTCTGGAAGACTGAATTTAACTTCAATACAACACACATACAAGAAAATCAAACATCACCCGACACCGAAGTAAGTAAAGATCGCTCTGTGACGTTACAAATATAAAGCAAAATTCAATCCTCGGTGAGCTAAAAAAAAAAAAATGAAAATACCTTTTCCAGGAACCAATCAGGACGTGTTCCTTTGCCGTCGACTGCGATTCTGGCCTTCAGCAGTTTTCCCACATCATCGAGGTCCATTCTTATGAGATCAACACCGCCTCGTTCAAAGCGGGATTCATCTTTATCGAGCACAAACTCTGGAGTTGTACCTTCAGATCCGAACAATGTCAGGGAGATAGCTGAATCTGTTCCTGCTGATTTCACGTCACCCGTGTACACAGTGATCTCGTGTGGCACATCTGTGAGACAACGAACGATACGATTACAATTTCATATTTTATGACCAAAAAAACGAACTCCACGTAAAGACAGGAAGCCATTTCTTGATCAAATGCGAGGCAGCGTTCAGCACTGTTTGTGAAAATGATGCTGCAGTTTTCGCGCACTCTCCATTGGTTACATGTTTTCCGCGCTTCCTACTGGTTACAAGGTTTCCGGCGTTTGCCTTTGATTACATGTTTTCCCCCACTTGCTACCAGTCAAATTTTCTCGCGCTTCTACTGGTTACTATCAAAGCTTTTTTATTAGTGTATTACGCTCAACTCGAAAGATCATTGGCTACTTTGGTCACTGTTCACAATTAAATATTGTTTCTTCTAGTTAATTTCCATCTGTATTTATTTTCCTATATCATTGTAAACCATTTTACGTTAAGTTGTTTTTCGGTAAATAGTGTGCGATAATAAAAACTGAAACGCTATTTGCGACCGGAGTAATAGGCCATATTCGTGCTCTCGGTATAGGACTGGCACTAGTTTTCAACTGAGGTTAATGTGGGGAGTCTGTTCGAATGCATATATAAATCTCTTTTTCATGATACTACCCCGCGTGAGTCTTTATTGCAAGCTAGTTCTAGTCCAATACCGACAACACGAATATNCAGCGTCATTCTTATCAGCGCTGAGAGGAATCCACTGACGGCAGGGAAACACGTATCTGCCACAAAAAAAAGAGCAAAATCATGCAAATGTCTCAGAGCTAAGCACAAAAATCCCAGGTTCAATTATACGGTACTGCGAAACAACGCAAATCATAACAGTTTGTGCAGGTGAATGACCGTATTTAGAAGATACAAATACGAAAAATGATTACAACGGGTCTTCCTTGTATTCTTTGTGCATTAACTCAGAATGTTGTAAAGTTTTAGTCCGTTTTCTCAATTAAAGAAATTTCAACGAGTTTGAGCTTCACGTTTCCTTTAAAAATACGCTGAAATTGCATAAAACTCCACAGCAAGATAACTGTCACTAAGTGAAATCTTTTTATGAACACATCACAACAAGGCAAGGCAACCACTGAAACAACCTTGGCATCACTGAGATGATCACGTGATACCAGTACCAGCTCACCCGAGGTCTCACTAGCAGCTCTAGAAAGTCAAGATTAGGACTGGAAGTAGCAAAGGAGCTGCGTCCTGCAAAATGAGGACCAAAATTTTTGTCTTCCGCAATCCGTCTCAATCTTGGCCAATCAAAACCATCGTTATTTCTGTTTGGTTAAATGTTATCTCTGTGATGTCTTTCTTCCTTAGTAAACAATTACGATGAGATATTAAAAGGAGATTCTGCACATAGAGAAATAGCTACTTTAAGCCAGTTCATATGCTTCAGTTCTCCTATACAGTTGCTGAACTCAAGTGAAGCGAGTAGTATGATAAGCTTACTTTTCTCCACTTTCAAGATGAGTGACAATTAGTTCATGTAAAAACCAGCCAGTCTCCTTCCCAGTCCCCTTGACAATGGAGCCTTCTCTTCTGCGGTGCCCAACTGTCACATGGGTAAGACTTCCTAGGTTTTTAGTCACAAATTTCAAACTGTCGGTTTGTCCTCGACGTAGGACTTTGTTCTTGGGGCTGTTTTCTATCTGATATTCCTGAGACTTTCTTTCTTCCCCTTCAAGCACGATCCATGCGTTTTGTGTAGTTCCCGCGTGTTGCTTGTCACTCGTGAGGAAAGTCAGTTCAAAAGCTGTCACAAATAAAAAAAAACGCGCCTATCGCCTCGTTTGTCACTGTTTTGTTCTTACCACATTTTAACGTCATCTGTCATCAATATAGGGAACTTAAGTAAACTACGATGGCAACGGTAACGAAAACGCCACCAAACAAAAGGTATAATGAGCAGAACAATGGCCATACACGTGCGTTTTAAATCTTTGTACATTTCAGAGCTTTCCTCTGCAAAACATACAACGTGAAATGACCAAGTTCTGAGTATTTTGGAGAACGTAGGCCACGACGGCTAATTTTTCGTATTCCTTTTTGGAATTGATCACTCACTGGCATTAAATATTTAGTTTGAGCACGTTTTCAGACTGACTGGCGTGCTGAACAGATTCAGATAGTTACGAAGTCCGAAGGTAAAAAAACATCCATTTCTTACTAGGCGTCGTCTCTGGTGTCGCCGTCGTCATTGCTTAAAGTCCCTAATTACTGAACAGACGCACGGCAACATGGAATCCATTTGTTATTAATTAATATCTTGAACGTCAATCATGTTTCAGACCACTGCTTTGAATTTTTATTTTATTTCAAGATCTACAATAAAGTTACAGGTACTTTACAAGCAGTAGAATAATCGAGTGCTCTGGAAGACGTAAGGTTCAAACATTTGTGAAGAACAAATGGGCTTTTTTTCAGAAACAAGTTTCCTTTGTCACTTACCTAAACTAAGTAAGTTCTTGAAGGTAAAGACATCAGTATGGTTCCGTTCAAACTTATCCTTGTATGTTTCAGAGTTCTTCAAAGCCAGCTCTCCACTGTCGCCATTTTCGCCAAAAATAATCATGAACACGTTAGCGTCTGTCCCAGCTCCAATCACATCTCCGGTCTTTACGTTTACCTTATATGAAGTCTCTGTTTGCAGAATTGAGAACAAACCAATAACAGTAAGCGTCCTATATGCTGACGCGCTATGAGCTTGTCACGCAATCTTTCCTCTTCACGACCCCAATAAACAAATGCAAGGTGAGACTCAATATCTGGGCGCTTTCCATTCAACCAAAAATTCCGTTTTGTATTTCCGAAAATTTCTGGTGGCGAATGAAAGGGCATTTTCCACAAACTCCGGGAAAGAAGACAATCTCGCGAGCTATACTCAAATTTTAGAACATTTATTATCAGAAATTTCTATTCCCCTTGATTTTTATCTCGCAATTTCCGGAACTTCCGGTTGAATGGGTCGCATTTCGGAAATTTAACAATTTTCGGATTTTCTGGAAACTTTCCAAAGGAATTTCCGTACCATTTGCTCCCGTTTCGAAAATTCCAGAATTATCGGTTGAATGGAAAGCACTCTCTAACTCTCTCTGGTGAGCGGCAAGACTAAGACCTCTGGGCGAAATTGGAAATTGAGCCAGAACTGATCTGGCTCAGCGGTTGCTTTCGCTACTCATGTTTAAAAGCCATTGTTCAACTAGGACGCAGGCGCAAAATCAAACCAGAAAGAGGATTTTCTGACTCCGGTTTGTTTTTACTATTTTCCAGAGCGTCGAGCGTCGAAGGCAAGGGGTCTAAGAACGAGATTGAGTGACGCTGCTGACAATCTGGGACATTAGAATGACTCCGCAACCACGCCTGTAGACCAGTTTTACAGAAAGTTTCACCACAGACGGAATCTGGCCCAAGTGTTTTGTTTTGTCATTTATTATCAAACCCTAGTCAGCGAGAAAAAAAAATCTTGGGACATTTAGTCTGATTTTGGTGGGGAAAACAGTTCAAAACTCCTTGTGTGCAGTATCGCTGTAAAGCTTATTCTTCGGGTTGATAACTATTATTTGACTCGCCCAAACTACTCGTGGAATTACATAACAGTCGCCGTGAATATTTTTCCACCTAATCCGCAGGCAACGCGTATTTTGGCGTTTTGATATCAACTTACCAGTCAACACTTCTTCGCCATCAACCTCAGCCGGTATCTCTTGGACTAACTTTCCATCTCCTGTTTTGGAAAACCACTGATTGGATTTAAACACGCTCACGCAGTGGGTCTCCATGTTTCTTATTATTATCTGTTTAAAAAATAAATAAATAAATAAAAACATACAAGTTATTGTTTTCTCGAATTTCAAATTGCCGCTACCTACGTTTTAGTTTTTCCTCCTGAATTTAACACAGATATCATGACTAGAAAGAGCACGAAATGTTTAGTTAAAGTGTCAATTTGAACTGAAAGGCTTTAAAAGTTGCAGGTTATTCTACAATTATGACCAGGTCTTAACATTATGACATGATAAGTTTTCCTTTTAATAATTAATAGCTACATGTATATTACAGTTGAGTATATGTGTCCAGTCTTTGCAAGGATCTATAATTTCCAGCATTCTTTGCTTTTATTGAGGATTCCATTATCACTTTGTTACCTGAATCAGTATAAATATGGAAAAAATGTTATTGGGAGGTGTGATCGACGCAATATAGTTGAAAGCCTTTAAGTTCAACGTTTTTCAACAGAAAATGTCCTCCAATTTTCAACGTGTTCCTCTCGTATTTCTAACAGCAAGTAAATGGCACAAACGTTTTCAATTGGTCTTATCTTTATGTCTGGAAGACTGAATTTAACTTCAATACAACACACATACAAGAAAATCAAACATCACCCGACACCGAAGTAAGTAAAGATCGCTCTGTGACGTTACAAATATAAAGCAAAATTCAATCCTCGGTGAGCTAAAAAAAAAAAAATGAAAATACCTTTTCCAGGAACCAATCAGGACGTGTTCCTTTGCCGTCGACTGCGATTCTGGCCTTCAGCAGTTTTCCCACATCATCGAGGTCCATTCTTATGAGATCAACACCGCCTCGTTCAAAGCGGGATTCATCTTTATCGAGCACAAACTCTGGAGTTGTACCTTCAGATCCGAACAATGTCAGGGAGATAGCTGAATCTGTTCCTGCTGATTTCACGTCACCCGTGTACACAGTGATCTCGTGTGGCACATCTGTGAGACAACGAACGATACGATTACAATTTCATATTTTATGACCAAAAAAACGAACTCCACGTAAAGACAGGAAGCCATTTCTTGATCAAATGCGAGGCAGCGTTCAGCACTGTTTGTGAAAATGATGCTGCAGTTTTCGCGCACTCTCCATTGGTTACATGTTTTCCGCGCTTCCTACTGGTTACAAGGTTTCCGGCGTTTGCCTTTGATTACATGTTTTCCCCCACTTGCTACCAGTCAAATTTTCTCGCGCTTCTACTGGTTACTATCAAAGCTTTTTTATTAGTGTATTACGCTCAACTCGAAAGATCATTGGCTACTTTGGTCACTGTTCACAATTAAATATTGTTTCTTCTAGTTAATTTCCATCTGTATTTATTTTCCTATATCATTGTAAACCATTTTACGTTAAGTTGTTTTTCGGTAAATAGTGTGCGATAATAAAAACTGAAACGCTATTTGCGACCGGAGTAATAGGCCATATTCGTGCTCTCGGTATAGGACTGGCACTAGTTTTCAACTGAGGTTAATGTGGGGAGTCTGTTCGAATGCATATATAAATCTCTTTTTCATGATACTACCCCGCGTGAGTCTTTATTGCAAGCTAGTTCTAGTCCAATACCGACAACACGAATATGGCCTCTTGTTTTACGTTCACGAAAGTTGTTGAAAATGTCGACAAGCCAACAACACGCCAACGAACTTACGTGGTTTATAAGTGACAAGCTGACCGTCCGACGCAGACAGCACTCGCACCACTTTTCCATCTTCCTTGTTCTGTGACAGCCATCTGTTGCAAGGAAAGAAGTACTTCTTACCGCTGGTCGGCACATCTACTTCAACTTCCTTCACAAACCAGCCGCTGTCTGCGCCATAACCATTGTGAGACAGCTCGACTTTCTTCACTTCACCGACATCTGCAGCCTCTATAGAAAACGTCTCCGTTAGGCCTGGAGAGAATCCTTCTCTCTGTATGAGCACTAATGGGATCTTTTCAGAAGCCGCTTCACTGCCCATAAGCACTATGTGTGCCTGCGCTTGAGTGCCCGCATCTGATTGGTCGCCTGTGGTCACGCGGATGGTATAAGCGATAGCTGTGAGAAAAACAAAATGAAGAAACGAATATTTGTCAGTCCTTGGAGCAACCATAAATATAAATAAAACTTCACTGTACATAGTTTCCGCCATGATATGATCAACTAAAAGCAATCTTTGACGAAATCTACCCAGAGGACGAAAGCTGTATAAAAAATCAAATTTATAAAACTGGTTGTTTAA